TAATGTACGCAGATGATCTTATGAAAACATATTTGGCCCCCTCATAAATTTCTTGTTAATGGTTAAGTCCTAGAACTAAAGCGGAATATCATCGACACTTGGGAGGAAATGAAAACTGTTTACCCAAAACTTTACAGACTTTTAAAAAAATACTGTCAATCAGATCGGGGTCTGCTGAGCGCCTTTTTCAAAAGTTCATGCTACAGCCACCGAGAAACGCAACCGCTTAACAACAAAACGCTTATCGAAACTTTCGGTTTAGCGAAGATAGCTAAATAATAAATAATTATCGGCGCTAAAAATACTCGTTTTATTTTATTGAAGGCTAATTAACAAGAGAATTATAAATTTTTTATGGAAAAATATTTTTGTGAATACTCACTGTAAAAAAAGTGCCTTTAAAAATTCGATAAATCGATTGTTTCTCATTAATTACAATTAATTGCAATTAATTTTTTTGGCTTGTGATTAATCGTATGATTAATAAATCGATTTTTTTGCCATCCCTATTTATTATTGAATCATAGGAATCACCCAAACATACGGTGACCATATTTATCGGAGCCTAATACGGGGCAAAAAATTATTTTGCTAATTTTTTCCACAAATGCTAACAGAACTTAAAACCTTCTTCAGTGAGCCCTGATACAGCATCCTTATAGTAACCTCACAAATTTGTAGGATATTTTTCTCGAGAGTTTAAACCCGTAAAATTTGTTACAAACAATTCGTTAAAGTTTAATATAATTTAGTTCGAGGTAGCTAGGATTTACCGTTAATTTTTTGCATTTTTCTGTTACGCATTTTTTATATAAAGTAAGACCGTTCGACATTTTTTTGGTAGGGAAGCAAATGAGCAACACCTTGCACTTGCACTTTATTATACTCAATTTTAATGAGCTAAAAACTGAAAACCCAAATTTTCTCTAAAGATTCTGATTAAAAGGTTTTAAATTTTGGTCGTGCGTTCTCTGCTCTGCCTATGCATCTTTAAAATTACATATGTATGTACATTTGTATGTATGTAAATATGTATATGTATTCTGCCAATTAAAATCAACATTTTTTCTTGGCAACATGAATTCTAGCAACATTTGTTGCTTGACAATCAGAGACATGCACTCTTGAGCGCGATTAGGGCGCTCGCTGTTGGTGAAAATTCGAACACAATTCAATTATTTCTGCCGGTGTAATTTCCGCTTGTCGTATGCATGAACATTTGTAAATCAGGACATACTTTAACAGCATATACATAGGTCGTTTTAACAAATAATTTTAATTTTATTTTTAGTTATTTTTTATAAAAAGATTGTTTATTCTTGAGCTAATACCGCATACATCCAGACAAAGTTAAAAATTTCAAACTTTTTAATTAAACTCTTAGACCGAATTTCAGAAGAGCGATTTATGTAGAGATTGTTGAATAACTTCAAAAATCCATTTTCAGATCATATAGGTATTTAGGCTGCGTTTCACCAATCAAATTTAATTTAATTTAAGTGACCTAAGATCTTCACTTAAATAAAAATTAAATCAGAATAATCACATTCAGAGTTGTTACACGTTTAATCAGCAGATCAATATACACTATGGTGGTTCAAAAATTCACGTGAAAATAATAATAATAAATGGTTAAATAAACAATTGGGTATTATTATTGAAAGTCTCCTGAAGAGAACCAGAGTTTTCCGATCAAAAAATATTAATTTACGAGAATTCTATACCATTTCTACGAAAATTTGTTTTTTCCCCATAAATATAAAAATACATGGAAAACTTTGAGCACTTTGAGCGACCTCTAAATATTTTTTGATTTCCAAATAAAAAATAGCGGTATACTTTTTTCGATATAGAACAATCCTAGGAGGTGAGAGACTTGCAATTCTGACTTTATTGTTTTTGGACCACCCTAATATACGCATGCCACCATATGGTGTATCAACTGTTTACTTGTATACCAATCCTGCTTTTACTACCACCATATTCTTACTCACTCAAATAAAAGGGCTTTTTGAAAATAAAAAAATTTAATTGAAAGCTAAATAAAAATTTAATTCAAATAAATTTCCTCTTAAATGAGTTTGGTGAAACGCAGCCTTAAAGCTACTGAGAAAACAGATACCGTCTATTTATAGGACCACGCCACGATCGGGCGCAACGCGAGGTATGTATGTGGGACCGCTATTGGATACTGAAGACAGAAGCGAGACCATGGATAATATGAAACGAAACTCTCTCATTTCGCTTCTGAGAATGCCTCTAAACTGGTTTTACGACTTTGCAGCACAGAGAATTCAGAGGACGATGAACACCTACCACTAGTCAAGTTTAAAATGCACCGCTTTGAATTTAGGGGATTTATTTTACGTGCAATTACATATAAAACAAGCGAAGGTGCAGTGTTTATAAGTGAAAATACTTTTACTCGTTATTTAAGAATTTTATAACACGCAAGCACAAAGCAGGTATTTAAATTTTTTAATTTTCGAGTGTTTTACTTAATAAAAGAAAATCTCCTAAAATTCTTTAATAAATATCTACCCATACAAGTATTTCGTAGCAGTGGCACTATTGGAAGATGTTATGAAAAATAAACTTTTTGACAGCGCTCTCACGAGAAAAAAAGTTTCGTATCATATTATCCATGGCGAGACGTATATGCCGCAATAAGAAGATAGAGGCCGAAGTACGTGAGTGCGAAGAGCTTGAAATGCTGGAAGACAGGAAAAACGCCCGAAAAAATTTAAAAAAGCATTGGACGACTGAATGTTGTAAGACCGGGGCGAACTCCTGTAAGAACAACAATGGCAATCTAGAGACCGACGTCCAGAACGTAATTAAATATGAAGGGAACACTTTTCCACCGTACTAATGGAGAAGACGAACCTGAGCCTCAAGTCAATGATGACGGAGTCGATGTTCAACTGCCTGACTATGACTACATACGAATAGCAATTACGCGGCTGAAAAACAACCACCTTGCTAGTACTGACCACATGCCAGATGAGCTATTCAAGTACGACGGCGAGGAGTTGATAAGGTACTGGCGTACTTTGTTGACCCGGCCAAAATCGCTTAGGCGGTTACAGCGCCAAATAAGAAGAACAGTTTTATGGTAAAAAAAAAAAACAAGTTTAAAAACACTCCAGGCAGAGGTAATTTTTCTGGTGATCAAACAGTGGAATTATTTTCGGGTCTCTTTCAAAAACTAGAAAAACGGTCGAATTTCAACAGTAAAAAGGATGTATTTATTATTCCGATGAGGTGTGGGTATTTTTGAAAATATGTAATTAAACTCTATCTTAGAGAGATCCACGCCGACTAAATTTTATAACGGTAAGAGCCATATATATCTAGTGCCCACTCAACAATAAAATTCATGAAGACTATTTTTATATTAAAACGTAACTTTATTAATTAAAACATCTCTGATATTTTGTTCTTACAAATAATGAAACATACAATAAAATTGCGGTTATTTCTATTATAAATATGTATATATATTATTTTTTAATAATTATTTCATAATTAGAATATTTACCGCACAGAGTAGCTGTGTTAAAAAAAAATATAATCTTCCATTTTTGTTTAAAAAAAATGCAAAATACTAGTTATTATTTTCATACTCTATTTGACTCATTTATACATACATACATATCGCACATTCAATGCAAATGTGACACAACTCAAAATTAATCGTAGCACATATTAATCATATGAACAATGGGACTTTACTTAGATTTTTTCAAGAAAATTGTTTCAAGAAAATTTTGTTCGAGCTTTTGCTGAAAGGTAAGGATGACAAATTTTGAGTGTGTCGCCTTACAACTTTGTGGCTGTGCAATATGCTTACCTGTAGTCTTTTGACAAAACCACTTAACTCATTTTGACAGACTGTGACTTTAATGAGCTTTCACAAAAAAATTTATTTATTTTGACTATAAACAATATGCTGAGCAAATTTAAGTTTACAGAAAAATATATAAAAGTAGAAAATATTAAAGTCTGTGAACAGTCAAGTTTTTATCTAAATTTCGTTGATATGTTGTTTTTTTTTTGTGTAATTTATTTGCCATACAAAGAATGCGGTAAGTTTACACAAGGCAGCGTAGTTAATAAATATTAAAAAATTTTTATGTAATTTACATTTAAGGCTACAAATTGTAAATTTTTTTTTTTTTATTTTGCGTTGCTAAAATTAAATTTTCACTGAACATCGAATTGAAGTACACTACCAATAAAAATGTTAAAAGCTAATTTTTTTTTTGTTTTAATTTTTTTTTTACATTTTTGACTAATTACAACAGTGAGCTTCATTTACACAAAAACAAACACAAAACGGCATTTGTAAGGTTGCAAACAGAGTGGAAGCGAAGCCGAAGACGAAGATGAAGACGAAGCCGAAGACGAATTGCTTGCGTTGCGGGCAAGCTGGCGAGTGTACATAGTGGAAGATGAATGATATGAAGATTTGTTTCTAAATAAAACCATTTTTTTAGATAAAATCAAAAGAAAATAAAGAAAAAACAGCAATTCATGAAATAATTTGTATAGGACAACTTTTGGAGAATTTCGCCACTTGTATTATGTGTTACGGCAAGACGGACAGACATTTTTCAAATATACAAGAATGCCAATTAATACGTTTGATTACATTTTGCCAAAAATTTAGCCAATTTCTTGAAAAACGCGTTTTTTCACAATTGCAAACATTTAAATAAATTGTAAACAATTCATCACAGCAAGCGATTCGTCTTTGAAAACAGTACCGCACTGTTTCAAGCTGACCGCTTGCGCAACGTCTTCATCTTCGTCTTCGTCTTTGCTTGCACTGTGATCACTTTCATATGCTTACTACTGCACTGTTTTTCGTCTTCGGTTTCGTCTTCATCTTCGTCTTCGGCTTCGCTTCCACTCTGTTTGCAACCTAAGTGTTGTCGCATTGTTGTAAATATGCCTCTAATTGTTGTTGCTGTTTTATGTATGGACTGTGCTCAGTGCTTTTGGTGGTATGGTAGCATAAGTTTATGAGGTGAGCTACTAGTTTCTTTTGTTTTGCAATATTTTTTTTTTTAATATTTGTATACATAGTTATTTCTTTTATTTTCTTTGTTGTTGTTGTTTTTTGTTTTAATTTCACTCTTTTGACTCGTCTAATAATTTGCGCCGCTCTTATGCGTCAAATACAGAAAATATGCGCCAGCAGCGTAGGCCAAAAAGTTGAAACAACCAAAAACTCCGGCCGCAATATTCGAACCATAAGCCCATGTACTCGGATAACCAGACCATTTGGCCAATTGCACTACGAAGGCAATGAAATACAGGAGCGCGCATATCGCAGTGTTGAGCAATTCCTGCAAAAAGAAAGTAAAACGAAAGGGGAATAAGTGAAAAATTGGTTGCGATTTGTGTTTTTAGTTTTTTTTTATGCTAAATCAAGAACGTATTTTCGATAATGTTATATACAGGGTGGTCCCAATGGACAAAAACTTAGACCGTATGGTGTATAATAAAGTAAAAAAAAAAAACATTTAGTGTTCTGTACAGAGACTAAATATAAATATAGTTTATTTGAAGAAATCAAAAAGGCATTGGGAAAAGTAGTCGTACTGCATTTTCGACAATATCTTGAGAATCCTTTGCTATTGTACCCTGCGTTCTCCTCGTGAAAAAACTTGACTTTCATTATTCTGAGCAAGAAACGCGGAATAAGTTTTGCTTTTTGAAGACACACATTTTTAGAGGAATCAAAAATCCAAAAAATTTTCAAGATTTTCCTTTGACTTTTTTGAGATTTTTCACGAATTTTCTGGACTTTAAGGAAAGTCTCGCATTTTTCTTTTCGGGATATTTACAAAAACTTTCGGCATTTGTTCGGCACTTTTTTGAATTCCTCGCGTTTTAGCTATCGGAATATTTTTGTATTATTTCACATTTTAATTTCCGTTATTATTTTTTCGACTTTTCGAAAGTTTTTCGAGATTTTGCGATTTCTTTGGGACTTCTCACAAGTTTTCGAGTCTTGTTGATGATATTTTTATTGTTTTTCGGGATTTTTTAAGTTTTATCTTTTCAAATCTTCTGAGATTTTATTTTAACTTTTCTGTATTTTTTCGTTTTGTCTTTTTTTTTGATACTTCGAAAGTTTTGGAATTTTTTTAAACATTTTGGAGCTTTTCGGGTATTTTGGTTGATTTTAAGCTTTTTTATTTTCTTACAGGATTTTGCGGAATTCCCTCGAAACCTTTCGAAAATTTTTTAAGGTCTTTGCGAAGCTTTTTGAATGTCTACATTTTCCCGAATTTTTCCGGATTGCACAGAATTTTTTCCAAACTCCTCGTTTTTTTATTTATCGAAATCTTTTGGGATTATTGGAATTTTGTCGCGATACTTGATAATTTTTTGCTCTTTATTTTGTTGGGGTTTTCGAAATTATTTTGTTGTTTTTTTTAGTTTTGGTGATTGTTTGGAATTTAATAGAGGGTTTATGGCATTTTTTAGGGGAATCTTTAAGTTGCTTTTCGCGATCTTTTGAACTGTTCAGAGTTTTTCAGAATTTTTGCACCTTCCTATATTTTTTCGTTTTCTTCGGGATATTTCAAAACTTTTTTCGATATTTTTGAAATTTTCAAATATTTTCGAATTTTTCTGAATTTCTTGGAATATTTTTCGCTGCTTTTTTTCTGTTTTAATGGCATACGCGATTTTATGGAATTCCTTCGGGACTTTTCGTAAATTTTCTTTAAGTTCTTCTAGGGATTTTTCTCAAGATCTTTCGGGATTGATCGAGACTTTTTCGGAGCTTTTCTAATGAAATTAAATATTTCGATTTTCTTCGAGATCATAAGACATTTTTCCTTGTTTTGTGGGATTGTTCAGGTTTCTTCATGTTTTACTTTTCGAGGTATTGTAGAGACTTTTGGCCTTGTTGTGGTTTTTTTATGTTTTACGCTTTTTATTTTTTAGAATTTTTCGAAGCTATGTTTCAGGACTTATTCATGATTTTTTGCTGTTTTATTTCTCGATACTTTTCGGTATTTTTTTTGGTGTTTCCAGTGCTCTACGAATTTGTTTTTTTTTTCTTTTTTTGTTAAGAATATTCAAGTTTTTTTTTACTTTTCGAGACTTCATCTTCTTTCTGATTATTGTTTTTGGGATGTATTCGAAGTCTTTTGGGATTTCTTGAACTTTTCCAGATTTTTCGGAACGTTTACGATTTTTGCGCTCTTTTCTTTGAAGCTCTGTTATGCATACTTGGCGTTGTCACATAAGGAATCTGTTAAATGAGCTTTGCGTTTAAGCGGTTACCCAAAGCACAGCATTACATATGTATGTAGAAGTCTGTTCAGTGCAGTGCAAAGTATGCATAGCTGAGCTATTACTGTTCGAATTTTTTTTAAGGTTTTTTGGGATTATTTCGGGTTTTTTTGGGATTTATCAGGTCGTTTTCAGGGTTTTTCTAAGCTATGTGACTATATGAATTCTCGAAATTCCACGATTTTTCTTTTATTTGGAATTGTTTAGACTTGTGGGTATTCCTCGTATTTTACTTTTCGGGTTAATTTTTGGGACGCATTCCAGTCCAGGGATTTTTCGAATTTTTTTCTTGTTTATGATGAGTTTTTCTATATTTTTCGCAACTCTTTTTTATTACTGTTTGCTTTTTAATTTCTTGAATAATTTTTTCGGAATTTTTCGAGACTGGTCGGGATTGTTTCTCTATCGATTTTTATATATTTCGTAGTTTCTTTCTGTTGTATTTTCCTTCGGGATTTTATAGCATCCTTTCGTAACTTATTCGGATTTTTCAAGTATTTCGCAGCTTTTTCCGAGGGCTTTCGGCATTAATCAGGTCTTTTTCAGGTATTTTCGTGCTTTGCTGAGAACTCTCCGGACTTCTTTTTTCGTGTGTTTCCAAAATTTCGGTGTCAAAAGTACATTTCGATATTAACTTAGCGATATCAGCTGTAAGAGTCAGTTCTGTTCTATTGTAGGAGCAGGAAGGCCTCTGAGAATTTTGAAATAAAATCCTTGGAAAATTCATAAATCTCGTATGATGTAAATTATTGTTTTAAGCTTTTTTGTAAGGGTGTATGTATCTTAGATTAAACTAATAGAATATTGAAAAAAATTCGAAATATAGCATATATGTATATATGTACAAGTATATATTTTTCTTAAGAACCTTGGAAAAACGTATTAATCTGACCCACCCTTTATAATATGTATTGGTATACACATATGTGTGTATTTACATATTAAGTATGAGTTGCTTTCTTTAACTTACTGTGAATATCCAATTGACGGCAACATTCAAAGCTTCACGTATACCCAAAAGATAAGCGAAAATCCATAAAATTGTCGCAATGAACGAGATTACAACCACGAATAGGAAGAATGACGTGGCAGCGATGTAGGCGGGTGATCCACAGGCCATGCAAATAATGCCGAGCACCTGTAATGAAAAATGAAAGTAAACATAAATGATTAAGCAATAGTCGGAATAAAATGTGTAAAAAAAAGAAAGACACTAAAAGATAATACCAATAACGAGCAACTAAACTGATATTGATTAAATAATATTGATAGTTCAGATAAGGCGTATAGGAAAGTGAAAGGAATCACTGAATGCATTTAGTGTTCTATAGCTTAGCTATCAATTTATTTTTTATCAGCGTGGACCTAATAAATCATTAGCTGTAGTCACGCTAGCTTAGATGGCTTAATTCCTCTTATTGCCAAAAATACCTAAATGTGCATACAAATTAGAGATGGGCGCGGAATATCGGGACCCGCAGGATGCACGGTACTGATTTCAAAATGGCTAAAAATTTTGCGTTCGGGACGGCAGAAAAATCCTTTCCCGACACTCCCGGCGGAATCGGGATTGACATTTTGTCACGTGCCCATTTCTAATACAAATATATTGCCAGTACACTTTTCAGCTGATTTGTGTATATATTACATTCATCATTGTGGCTTTACGCAACTTAACAAATTTAGAGTCAAACAACGAAGAATCGAACAAAGGAATAGTAAATAAGAAATAAAAAATGTATTGCTTAATAAGGTTTAACAATTATCGAAGCCGGTGTGGTGATAAGATAAGATTATGGAAGTAAACATACATACATATATGCATTGTACCTATTGTAGATACTTTTGTGGCGTTTGGTAGTATGAGGGAAACTGAAAGTGTTTGTTGAAGTAGGTGTTCTGTTAGTAAAGCACTAAGAAAGTAAATGCATTAGCAAAGTAAGAAAGGTAACAACTGTCTATATATGTACGTTCACATATCGTGAGTATGTATATGTATAATGAATAAGGGTCATTCCATGTAAAAGAGGGAAAAGACATAAATTTAAATATGCCCTAATTATCTCTATTTCAGTAGAAACCTCTTTTTAATTTTAGTGTAATAATGTGCAAGTTTCAAGTGGCTAAAAATTACCGTAAATTTTTTTGAATATTTTTTTTGCCGAACGTGTTGCGCGAGCACTTAAAAGGGGAAAATTATAAGTAAAATGGTAAATGGGGTACGAAAAATTGAGGTACTTAGGCGGGTTGGGTAAATAAGTGGGGAAGGTACTTAAGAGAGGGATTTTCTTCAGATTACATTAAAATATTCACGGTGCCCAAAAATGTTGGTGACTTAAGCGGGTTAGGCACTTAAGCGGGGGGTACTTAAGCGGGTTTCACTGTAAGTGAATTTTGGAAGAAACCAAGTCCGACTAAATACGTAGATATATTTGGTACAGCATACATACAAAAACAATCAAGTTTTTCATACATTTTTTATGGGGATAAACACTTTTTCGTAGAAATGGTGTAGAATTCTTGAAAATCAATATATTTTCGATTGGAAAACTCTATTTCTCTTCAGAAGACCTACAGTAATAATATCCAGTTATTTATTTTATTTTGCAATTTTATTTTGGAATTTTAATACTAGCGACTTTGCATTGCATTTTTGAGGTTTTTTTGGGGTTATTGATTTTCAAGAATTCTATTTCATTTCTACGAAAAAGTGTTTTTCCACATATAAAATACACCCTAATGTGCACACACACATACATATGTACAGCTATAAACATTCTAAGGGTTCAAACAAATAGATACTAGCTTTATTTTAAAGCAATTGGAAATCCCAAAACTAACAACAATAAAACAAATTAGCATTTAAATTGTCGACATATTGTTTGCACAATAAAAAAGTAAATAAACTAGTGACAATGCATTAGCAGGGCGAATGGCGTGGTCACATTTCGGTTTTACACCCAGCAATGCAAGATATTAAATACCTATGTATGTGTGTACTTGTTCATGTTTATATGTACATATGAATGTAAGTGCACATTATTTACGCGATTTAACAGGTATTTAGTAAGCTCGTTCCGCAAGAAAACCGAGATAAAAGTTAAGAAAACAAGCAAATAATGAAAAGACTGGTCGACACTTAAGCGAACAAAGGCATTAAAATAATCATGGCAAGAACAAATTTAGCCAATCATGCAGGCTGCAATAATCGTTTAAATAAGTGCAATTAAAGTAAAAATCATAAATATTTTAGATCAGGTTGGTCGAAAGAAATTACGTTGCGAAATGGTTTTATAATACAAATATTCCTCTGTGCGACGCTTAAGTTCTCTCGTTGTAAACGTCAAAGTATTAAAATTGTTTGCCTATCCTCTTCATTTGTGATTCACCGAAAGTGAAAGTATTATGACACAAAATTCATGAACGCGACAATTTTTCTCTCGTGATCACTCTTTAACCGACTTCAAAAAAAGGAGGAGGTTATTAGTTCGGTGTTAGGTGTTACCTCACAGGTGACCCCATACATTTGGTTTAAATCCGATCATTGAATCATGAAGAAATTAACGACAATCTTAAATTTTTATATCAGAATTGAAGTCGGTTTTGTTTTTTGCTTAAAACTTACTTGTTACAAATGCAATTGGAAAAGGCAGTGTTTTTTTCGGCAAAAAAGCAATTTATTTGTCAACATTTTCATGTTTAATGTAATTTGAGTTATTTAGTATCTATAGGGGTTTTTCAAATTGTTTATCCCTTCAAAAAATAATGATTCTTCAATTTACTCAAAATAGGGTTATTTCACTAATAACCCAAACCGCTTATCGTTGAGCCATTTATTCAGAATCATGGTTAATGGGAAGCTGAGGTTTTTGGCGTGCGATTTTTTTTTTAAGTTTAATTGAATCAACGAAATTGCCTGCTTTCATTGGCTTTCTCTAAATTGTTTACATAATATATTATTAACAGATGTGAGACGGCTTTGCAAAATCTGGTAGCCGGAATTAGCTATGCCATCAATAGGAAAGAATTCTTCTTGGGCATTTTTGTAGACATTGAGGGTGCCACCTTCGATAGCATGTGCAATTCTGCTTTACGGCATGGTGCCCTCAGCGTGGTTTGCTTTGCTATGGTGCCTGGTAATTGATTCTCTTCTTGTCACTCTGAATGACTCTGATATCTACGGTCAAGCCTATGCGGACATCTAGTCATTGGCCCCTCGCTGCCGGCTGCTTCCAGGAAAGCGCAGACAATACTGCGTTTGATTGACACTTGGTGTGATGGAAATGGGCTCACTGCTAACCCAACCAAAACTTTTATTGTGCACTTCACTAGAAGGAGAAGGTTGGATGGTCTCATTCCCTGCATACTTAAAGGAGTCACAATCCAGACTTCTCCCTAAGTGAAGTATCTAGGAGTAATTCTGGATATAAAACTATCGTGGAAATCTCACGTGGAACACAAGACCTCCAAAGCAAGGTGAAGGGGAAGGAGTTTACGTGTCTGCAGTGACAGCCAGGCACTAGCTAGCCCTCTAACTACATTCAAACTAGTCTGAGTGTTGTTTTGTGCCTGGTTCCGACAAAAATAAATAATAATAATAAACAGATTAGTGTTGCATTTAAATTTAGAAGTTAAGAAAGTCACTGACTTATTTAGCTGACACCCAACTAACTCCCTAATTACATAAAATTAAATGGAGCGCCGGGAACCTGTTCCGCCATCAGTACTTAATCTCAAACGCCGGTATGCCAGTTGGTTTTTTTGGACGTTTTTTTATCAGTTTTCATTTTTGCGGTCAACTACTTCTCGAAATTGCAAAAGTATAGTTAGAGGAACAATTTACGATATTTGTGCGAACGTGTGAAAATATTCAATACATTCAACTTTATTGGCAAGTTGCTGCTAATTTTTAGCCAACAACAACAACAACTACTCTTAAGCATTTGTCACGGCGCCTATGTCAAAAAACCTGTTGTGTCGCCAGACACTTTGTTACCTCGCTTCCCAGAAAGCCCCTCCCATCATACATACATATGTATGTAACGGGTGATTTTTTTGAGGTTAGGATTTTCATGCATTAGTATTTGACAGATCACGTGGGATTTCAGACATGGTGTCAAAGAGAAAGATGCTCAGTNATCGACAAATTTTGTTCAGCGATGAGGCTCATTTCTGGTTGAATGGCTTCGTAAATAAGCAAAATTGCCGCATTTGGAGTGAAGAGCAACCAGAAGCCGTTCAAGAACTGCCCATGCATCCCGAAAAATGCACTGTTTGGTGTGGTTTGTACGCTGGTGGAATCATTGGACCGTATTTTTTCAAAGATGCTGTTGGACGCAACGTTACGGTGAATGGCGATCGCTATCGTTCGATGCTAACAAACTTTTTGTTGCCAAAAATGGAAGAACTGAACTTGGTTGACATGTGGTTTCAACAAGATGGCGCTACATGCCACACAGCTCGCGATTCTATGGCCATTTTGAGGGAAAACTTCGGAGAACAATTCATCTCAAGAAATGGACCGGTAAGTTGGCCACCAAGATCATGCGATTTGACGCCTTTAGACTATTTTTTGTGGGGCTACGTCAAGTCTAAAGTCTACAGAAATAAGCCAGCAACTATTCCAGCTTTGGAAGACAACATTTCCGAAGAAATTCGGGCTATTCCGGCCGAAATGCTCGAAAAAGTTGCCCAAAATTGGACTTTCCGAATGGACCACCTAAGACGCAGCCGCGGTCAACATTTAAATGAAATTATCTTCAAAAAGTAAATGTCATGGACCAATCTAACGTTTCAAATAAAGAACCGATGAGATTTTGCAAATTTTATGCGTTTTTTTTAAAAAAAAAGTTATCAAGCTCTTAAAAAATCACCCGTTACATACATTTCGTTTCCTCTTGCCATGTACATAGCAGATATTACGTGTAGGTTGGTTTAAGCATATGAAACGTTTAAATGTGACCACAGGCATTTACCACACAAACGAGGTAGCCGTCAAACAAGTGTTGTCATTTCTAGGTCAGGCGGTTGCACGAAAATGAAAAAATTAAATAAATCCGAATAGTAAATTCCAAAAATAAAATATTCTTAACCAACACAATAAAAGAACCACTACATAGGAAACCAGAGCAGTGAGCC